TTGTAAACTTTTAAGTGGTAACAACTAGGATATATAATTTTAAAGGCAAAAAAAACATGAGTTCAAATTTAAGATTATAATTGGTTTTTATTTCTTTGAGTTTATATGTTTTTTATTTTACACTGAATATCTTGGTTCTTAGCATTAATTATTTTTTCCTAAAAATATAAAAACAGCTTTACAAAAACAATATTAATATTACTGTTAGTAGTGCTGAATTAATTTTACAGTTTTTTTTTCAAGAATTGTTTTGTCCTTTTATCTCACTAAGACCAAGTAATCGTGTGACATTAAATACATTCATATTGTGCAACATCACAATTATCTATCTCCAGAACATTTTCATAATTCCAAAATGAAATTCTGTACCATTAAACAATAACTTATTTCCCCTACCCCCTAGTCTTTAATAATTACTTTTCTATTTTCTGTCTTTATGAATTCGGTAATTTTAAGTACCTCATATAGTGGAATCTCACATATTTGTCCTTTCGTGTCTGGCTTATTTCAGTTAGCATAATGCTTCCTAGGTTCATCCATGTTGTAGCATGTTTTACAAAACTTCCTTTTAAAGGCTGAGTAATTGTATGTATATACCATGTTTTGTATATCCATTTACCCATAGATTGACATTTGTGTTGTTTCTACTTTTTTGCTATTTTGAATAATGTTATGAATATTGGTATACAAACATCTATTCAAATTCAGTTTTATTTTAACTGAGGTTTTTAATAAGTGAGGGTTATTATTAACTAAGCTAGAAAATATAGGGGGAAAAGAAAACCTTTTCCCTGGGTTGGTAAAGGACTGAAATAAATGAAGGGTTTGATTTTGGCTATGATTCATTTGTGGTGCTTTAGAAATCAATTAGAAATCAACTGTAAATGTGGGTATAGAGTGCTAAATTAGGTTTCTCTTTTATAGTTAAGGGTATAATGGTACCTTGAACTAAGGTAATGGAAGAGAGATGGAAAAAGGAATGAGTCAAAATTTATGGTGGTGATTGAATTAACTTGATGATTGGCTATGAAGGTTAAGGAAGAGAGGAGTTAAGGGTAACGGTCTGGATTTAGGCAGGGTGAGTGTGTAATGTTTCTGTAAATTGAGATAGAGAATTCAAATGGATGAAAAGTTTGTGAGAAAAGATAATTAATTTGGTTTTGAATAAACTGACTTTAGGGCACCAGGTGGACATATTTAACAGGACTGGGAAATATGAATTTTAAGTTCAGAGTTTGGATTAAATTTAAAGCTTTACTTTTTGTCAGCATTGGGGTAATTACAATTAAGGGAGTAAATGAGATCACCTAGAGGGTATATGGTAAGCTAAGAGGTTGAGCATGAAACCCTCCTGGGAAGTCCTGAAATGCTTTCTATGAAATTAAAGAAAAAATTTCCCTATGAAATGTATTTTTTTAATTTGACCTTGACCTCTGGGGCATGCAGGTGTAATATATAAGTCTGTAGCTCAATAAGAACACTATACCCCAATAGTATACATCAACATATATTAAATAGTTGAAGATAGGAGAATTGAATAGGTCACCTGAGGGCAACATATTCACTGATGGAACAAAAGAAGAGATGGCAGTATCCTAAGAAGACATATAGGTGATAGGTGAAGGATAAGGGAACCCAGGAAAGAAGTAAAGAAATTTCCCTGTGAAATATTACTTGTGATTTGCAAATATACCTTTCTCACTTCATCTGTATGGGGTAAGTTCTTAGTTTTTAATAGTAGGAAAAGGATAGTGAGGGCCCTAAGAAATCTTTGATTATGCACTTATAGTTCAAGGATTTATTAGGCAATGTATTTATTTAAAGCACCTTTCTTAAGGTCTGCATTTAGTGGATGGCTTTTCAAACTTTGAATTTGTGAAAATCTTCCTACTTAGTTTTTATGGTGGGCTGAGGGTGAAATAGAATAAAATAAATGCTAGAAGTTACATTTTGCTTTCAGAAATCCTTGTAAATGTCTTACAAGTCCTCAGGGTTTTGAGGTTTATTATTTAATTTATAATACTTGTATCCTTTCCAGTTTTAGAAATAATTCTGCTAAGTAGTAAGGTGTGTATAGTATTCTACAACAATGTTTTTTCAAAAATTTTTGTAAAAGCAAAAATTTAGTCGACTTACCTTTTTCTGGGAATTAATCTATAATTAAATACTCAGCTTTTGCTGATTTGCCTTGTTTCTTATCTGGTTTTAGTAGAGTGGTATGGCTTCTATATTTGCTTATTAAGCATTTATTATGTCTCTTTTGTGTGCAAAGACTGTTATAGTTATCATTTTAGTCATTTTTAGTGCTTTGTAGGTAGGTAAGATTTAGACATGAGGTTCTTTATCTTTAGTGGCAATTTGGTTGTGAAACTGATTTATTTTCCCAATGAAATTTTTGCTCTGTTCCTGCTTGATCTTCTGAAAAGTGAAGTCACATATATAGAATAGTTGGTGGGATAGGGCGAGTATGCTGAGTTTGGAAGCTCTGACTCAGTATATTACTAGACATTAGGAACACTTTTGTTATTCATCTATGAAATGATTGTTTCTTATATGCTACCTGATGTTTGTTTTGTTTCTGTTTTTCTTTGCTGTTAGATTTTCAGTCATGATTGGAAGGCATAACTTTTGGTTGCTTTGGATCACAGAAGGACAATTATGATTCTCACATATAGATTAAATTGTATTCACCAAACAACCCATCTAAAATAGATCAAATATCATATTACAAAGAAACTTCATGTTGTTAAAACTTCTATGCTAGTGATATTTCCTCTCAAGTTATTATATAATGATAAGTAATGGTAAATAATTATAACTTTTTTCCCCAGTGAAATGCTGTTCTTTCTTCAAAAACTTGTATTTGATTCTTTGATAGCAGTTTTTGCAGAGATTAATGCTGCTTTGTATTGATCTTATAGTTGTTGGTAGTAGGAATCTGTTTTTATATTACCAACAATCTAGGGTAGTCTGTATACTTCAGGCATCTACTCTTATTTGGGCAAAGTAAATGTTTTCAATACCATATAAACTGTTCTTACCCATATTTTCAAATTTTGTTATGTTTGGCTGAAGCCACTAAGAATTAATGACAGGTGTTTGGTAAGTATAATCTTGATCTTGTTGTAAGCCCAAATATTTAAAATTAAAAAAAAATCTGAAAAATTAAAAAATAATATGACCACACTAACCAAAACTTTTTGGGGGAGTTGGAGAGGTGGTTAACAAAATCCATCAATACAAATCTCATCCTCTCAATAACATAGGGAAAAAATAGTAACAACAAAAATTGCCCTAACATAAAACTCATCAGTCTTATATGAACTTTCAGTCTCTCTGTGTTTTTTGCATAATTGAAGTCATATTCAAACGTTGGACTTAGCCTCTCTTACAATTCAGCATCATATCACGTACATTGTCACTTTTCTATATAACCTTCACACTTGTCGTTTTTAATTAACAAATTTATTGAGTGGGTATGTCATAATTTAATAAGCATTTCTTTGTTTTGAACATATAGATTGCTTATAATTTTTCACTTTTGTAAATAATGCTTTGCTTGGAATTCTCATTTATCTCTGCTTAGAAAAGTTTTGATCAGACTTCAATCCCAGACACAGTGCTTGGGTGGGCTTGATAGCTTTTGACAATTTTTCTGTTCACAGCAACTTTCTGAGTTCCCACAATGGGCCTGGCTTCTTGTTACCTACCACATGTAGGGCATTTTGGTCCCTAGTATCTCATAAGAAATTGGTTGCCCCTACCTGTTTCAGGTTCTAGAACTCTGTACCCAATTAGTTTCTGTTTTATTTTTTTGTCTATTGAGATACTTACTTGGTTTGAGCATGGTTCTACCTCTTTAATATTTAAAAATTCTTCAATTTGTTACTGATTTTTGATTGGAGCTGAGGCAGCTTGATTTCTGTGCTGACTACAAGTGCTATCTGGATTTGGACTGGGGTTCTGGATATTGTTACTTTACCATGGCATATTTCAATATTTTATATCCCTTATCCTTTTGCATATTTCTTTAATATTAATACCTATGTGTGTGTAACTTTCTGTCAGGTACATTCATTTTTTTCCCTTTAAGTACAGTGTTCTTATTTCTGCCCTGATTACTTTGTGTGCATTTTTGTCATCTAATTGGAATAATTGCTCATTTTACTTAATTAAATTTAACTTTTCCTTCAAGAAATACATTTTTTTTTTTCAATTACCACAGTTACCATTGTGGGAATAATGATAGTGTGCACCATAAATGTTTTTGATAAGGATTATTGAGTCAGTCCTTGTGCTCTGAATCTTTTTGCCCTATGTTTTACTAGATTTTCTGTTCTTTTTAAAGTTAACACCTTGGTATTAATGAATGATAATGTTGGATGATAAATGTTGCAGGATAAAAGCTATCTTTAATCCTTCAAACTCTTCTTTGGTGATAGAATATCAAATATTGGAGACAGATTGGCGTGGGTGGTAAATAGGTGGGTGACCAGATGATGTAGGCTGTGTTAATCTTTATAGGTCCCCTCAGATCATTGTAGTTTAATTGGTGTAGCAAAGAGAGCAAGGCAAGAGGAAATCAGATCAACATTTTAGTTCTGCTTCTCTTTGTTTGCTAACAGTACAGTCTTGAGAAATCGCTTAGCTACTTTCAGTCTGTTTTCTCATCAATCAAGATAACATTTACCCTGCTTATCTCAGAGATGCCATTAAATAAGATTTTCTGTGAATGTGAGTTGAAGACTTTAAAGCACTATGTGCAAGAGTAAACAATAATTTTAAAAGACTAAAAATGAAAGAATGCATATAGAGATCTTGATACAGTATTTGGCACTATCTTCAATAAAGAATAGCTGCTAGTACTCTGTTATTATTATTGAGAGGGCATCTACTCTTATGTGTAAGGCTAGCCCTGATGACTGCTTAGGTTATTAAATAGTTTATGAATATATTGTTAATGTCTATTTTGACTTCCCCCCCTTCTGTTTGTGTTTCAGACTCCTGGGAGAGTTGGTTCTCAAGGTTCTGATTTAGATTCATCAGCAGCTCCTATAAACACAGTTGATGTCAATAATGAAAGCTCTTCAGAGGTATGAACATAATTTGGCACTAAGATTCAATATTGTTTAAGGGAAAATAGCAACTATTTGGAGTAATGATTGGTAATTTATACTTTAATAGGAGTCCTCACAAGTTTTACAAATTGGAATGTAACTTTTGAATCACATTTTTAAGTATGTGAGACTGAGAAAGTGAATATTAAGACTGAAAAGTAATATTTCCAATTTGTGTTTAATGCTAATGTTATCTCAATTTAATAAAGCTTTTAAAATCTGTTTATAAAGAATTACCAGGTTATAACATTCACACATTTGCTATTTTCATTTATGACTTTGTAAGAACTTTTATCTTTGAAAGCTTATTAAAAATTAAGAAAGTAAATAAGTCTAAAAAAGAAATAAATTGAGAAGTCAGCATTAGTAGTTGCTTTATTATTGTTATTTTTAACAAACATTTGCTTGTTATAGAAAAAAGGAGATACGGAAAGAACATAAAAACCACCCCTAATTCTGTCCTTAGAGACTGACACACTCACATTCTGCTCTGACAGTTTTTGTCAGGTGCCTCTTTCTAAACCCAAATGTATGCCTACCCAGTTCCCTTCTCTGCCCTTTCCTACCTTTTAGTTGTTGAGTCTATCTTGCTTGTGTTTCTGGGTATGTCTCTCTTTCTAACCATTCATTCTCTCTGTTTTGTCTCTCTGGCCATCTATTTCATATGATGAGCTCATGAGAATTAAATGAGATAATATATACAAAGAGTTTATCACAGCATCTGATATGAAGAAAATATTCAATAAATGTTAGTTACCTCATTTAACAGATAACTGAAGGTCAGATAAGCTACTAAAAGTGGTGTGAATCCAGCATTTAAGCCCAATTCTAGCTCTTAACTGCTACCCTGTCTTGCTTCCTAACGAGTCTTGTTTGCAGTCTTCGTCTTCTCCGATGCTATTATCCTAAGTCATCTTAGTGACTCAAGGCACATGGTACCCTCTCAGTTTTTAATGTTATCAGTGCCAGTGATCTTTATTCCCTCTTTTCAAGCTACTCAAGCCCATGACCGTACCACCTTATAACTAGGCAGACTATTTTCACTTGAAAGGTTAAGATTGTATCATCCTTTTCTTTACCACAACTGCTTATCCTCAGAAACTTTCTCATATTCTCATTCCTTAATTTCTTTAGCCCTGCTAAGTATTTCAGGTTTTTAATTCCTATTTTTTTTTCTAGTCTCTTAACCTTTCTTGGCTTCATTTGTTTTCCTCTCTAACCTTACATCTAATGACAGTAAATATTTGTTGGTTACTTACAATACCTCAGGTAATATACCAAGCATTTTATGTACTATGTAATAACTCTGGAGAGAATAGGTGCTGACACCAGCTGCATTTTATAGATGAGGAAACTGACATTTAGCATTGTAAAGTGATTTCCTTAAGGTCATATTGTCAGCATTGGTTGAGACTCAAATCCACATCTATTTTTGACACCCAAACTCATGATGTTATAGCCTTTGTTATGTATTGTCCTTCAGTACTATCTTTATTTTATGTACTTTTTCTCTGTACTCTCGATTCCTCTATTCTCTTATCCTTTTACTGTTCTCTCCTGATAAAACCCAAAACCATAGATCAGTATAGGGAATTTGGGAGATTGTTTTACAATGATTTTATTTGGCTTATAAAATTAGAAGGATATGTCACCAACTGGGAATTATAGATGTGAGCAAGCAAGGGATCTCAGGCTAGTAGAATATGGTGAAGACAGAAAATTGCTCTCATTATAAGAACATTTTTGTCAAGAACATTGAACATTATCTTACATAAAGATACTTGTTATAACTGCCTGTCATTTCTTGATTTAAAACAAAAGCTAACTTCCCAGTAATAGCTCCCAGATAAGTAAAGACAAAATGTCATAAACAAAAAGAATAATACTTCAAACTAAAGCAGTGGGTTACTATAATAAAATTTAATCAATGGGATTTACAGCATTAGGATGGGAACTAATTTTAGAAGTCTTACTTTGGATAGGTCTTTCACCTTTTACAGTTACTACTTGAAAATTTCCCTTGCATATACTAATGAAAGATACTAATTATTTTCCTGTTATGTCTATTTTCATTGTCTTTATTTTATTTTATAAATAACTTTTTGTGTGCATCCTCCTAAAAGTTGTTATTTCACAGGGTTTCATCTGTCCATTATGTATGAAAAGATGTATAACTGCTATTGATTTGTCGGAGCATTACCAGAAAATGCACACTGAAAATGAAACAAGAGGACAGGAACTTCTTAATGACTCCAGTGCTACTGTGGGTCCTATATATTTTGTTTTAGCAGCTGGTTATGGGTTGCTCAAAATAGCTTTGTTTTTCCTTGCCTTGGTGTTGCTTAACTTTCTATGCTACAAGGGAATATGGATTGCTTTAATTATGCATGCTTTAAAGAAGGTTCAGTAAGAAAAGAAGCTCTTGGGAAGTCAGCTTGGTTGCTCTTACTGTTTGCTGATGTGTTTTTGTGAATCTGTAAGCAAATATAAAAGTTTAAGTTAATATTTTTGTATAAACTTTGGCATAAAATTTGAAATGCAAAGTGAGTGATATTTTATTTCAACACTTTTAAGTTGTATCTTTATTATTTAATGTTTTATTAAGGAATGTGTTAAAATACTCTAGGTTAAAGTATTTGACTCATACATGGAAAGACTTTGCATGTGAACTGTTACTTTCTTTTTTTGGGGAAACTATACAGCACTAGAAGCTGAATCTTCTGCTGTTTTCAGTCTTTCTTTTGACTCTCCAGACCCGAGGGTGGTGACAGCTGATACACACTCATCATTAACAGTGGATCACCCAAAATTTCTCTCTAGTGTGTGGGGGTGGGAGCCAGCGCAGGGTAAGTGTTGTTCATTTTCAGGCTGGAAAAGTTTCTCAGATGTTCCTGATATATCTCTTTCCTTTGAAAATCACTACAGTATTCTAAAAAGGAGAAGCATTAGCTTTTTTTGATTCTTTTACAGATCTTGTAAAAGAATGAAACTTTTTGTACCACAAGAGACAAAACCAGACTTAACTTTGTTCTGTGAGGCAGTTATGTATACAAGTAAATGATCTCACCAAACATTCACTTATATAACACATTAATAGAGTGCCTCTTACGTGCTAGGTATTTTGGTAGGTAAAGTAGATAAAATGGTAAATAAGTTATGATCTCTACTCTAATAAATTTCTATGATAGTATTGTAAAAAGAGTACAATGGTTAATTCAGCTGTAGAAATAGCGTGTGAACAATTTTTAGAAATGTTTCTTGAAAGGTAAAACTGGCCATCAGAAAAACTATAAATGTGGGTATGGAATTAAAGAGGCTTGCCAGAATTTAGAGTGGAAGAAAACCTATTCAGTAATTAATATTTATGCCTCTGAGACATTAAGCAAAGGTTTAATGTTATCTGTTTAAGAAGATGAGAAAGTATAGGTATTTTAGAAAGCTTTATTTTTATCAGAGATCTCCCCAAATTGAAGTTTTACTTAAACATGCAAGCTCTAGTCACGTGGGGAATTTATGGAAGTGGAATATTTCTGTAGTTAAATATATATTACTGAGTTTCTCAGATTTCTCTTTAGGGATGAATCAGTTCTTTCTGGAGTATTAACTTGGTAATATTTAGAAGCTTTAAGAAGGTATGGCATACTTTAATGGCATCCTTAGGTAGCTAGAGCCAAACCTGAAAGTAGAGACAATCATTAAAAAGCCAAAGTTGTGAAGATTAAATAGTGTAGTCAGGATGTAGATTCTCTGAGGAGCACTCTGTAATTTGCCTTTTAGTTACTAGCAAAATCTGAGACACAAGAGTGAAATGATTGGCTAAATATTATAAAGGTTCATGTGCTATTGCCCTAAAGGCATGTTAGCTGGTGTGGTGAAACAGTTACCAGACAGAAATTAGAAGAATGTCAAATTAAGCATAATGTAGAGCCATTATGCAACAGGATGATAGGTAATAGATGGTTTTGAAGAAGGAGCATAACATCAGCTAGATTAGCACACAGGCTGGGAGCATTCATTCTTTAAGATAACGCTGAGTGTCAAATTGCTAAAACCTGATGGCATTCATTATTCTGATGTCCAAAGGCACATCCTCAGTATTTAGTCTTGACTGATTTCAGGAGTTTCATAGGGATTCATTGTGTGCATTCACCTTTTGTGTTCTGCCCTTAACTTTGGGTTCTGTGACGAGAACACATCCCTGTTCCTCAAAAGCAGTTTGCATTTCGTAGCTCTTCCTGCACCTTTGTACATATTCCTCATTTTGCTTTTTTTAATTTTTTTATTTCTGACAAGTATACTCCTACTTATTCTTTAGTACCTACTTCCAATGGGTATATATGTATATACATACACACATACAGACACACATGCATATATATAATATGTATGTGTCTGTATTTTTTTGTAAAGCATTGACTGCCATAAGCACAGTTGGTTACCTCTTCTCCTGTGTTCCTATGGTTCTTTATATATGCTTGTGTTATACGGTTGTCTTATAATGTTGTCTATATATCAATATCCCCAGTACTCAGTGAGCCTGTATTCTATTATGCATAATGTGCATAATGATAAATGAGGATATGGCATTTGCATAGCACCCAATGAAGGAGCAGAAGTTTTATTTATTTATTTTAGTTTTTATGTGCTCAGAGCACTTATTACTTAGCTCAGTCTATCCTTTGCAAGGTTTTATAATCTGTAAGTTGTTAAAGCTCTTTCACCAAGTTCTGCCCTGCGTGGTTCATTCATATTTCATTACATAAACATACAACCTCAAAAATATGTAGTATGTTCAAAATACCACACTAGCCATTAGGGAAACTTAGATGAAAGTTCCACTGTGCTGTGTTAGGGATGCCAGGGTTCTTGTTTGCGGAGTTGAAGAATGAACTTAGCAAACACCTAAGGTAGGAGAGCTAGAGAGAGGCTTTTTTGAGAGATACAGTGAGAGGACAGATCTCCTGGCTCATGCCAGGAGGAGACAAGAGAGCCCGGAGTGGTGCGTGGTCTAAGGGTTGTATAGGCGGTAGAGGATTTTTGGAAACATGAGAAAAGCTTAGGGGTGTGGACTTATTAACTTCTTAGGTGTTAAAATGCAATCTTATCTTTTAGATAGAATCCTTCCTGCTTTTTACTATGTTGATTATGGCTGGGCCTACATGCTAAATTAGTTGCTCAGTTTGCAAATGACCTCATCAGGTCTGAAGGAGGAGACAACACATAGGCCTGGGCCTTTTAGCATGCTAAAATGAATCTTACACATGATTACAAATGATTAGCATAATAAAAACATGTGCTACTCTTCTTTATCTGGGGAATATTAACTGTTCTCACTGAAGAATGACTCTAGAGCTTAATGTTTAACACATAGTTTTGGTAGGGGGGTTTCATTGCATGTAGTTAGTTACATTGCTCCAACTGTAAATATCCTGCCTTGCTTTTTCTGAAAGCCCTCACCCTATTCTGTCTAAGCCCACGGTCCCTGTCTCATTAGTATAGTGAATGTAGAAGTGTAGAACCTGACAAGCTACTGAGAATAGAACTGGAGGAAAAAAGCAGTTTATGTAATGGCCAAGAATTGTGAGATGCAATGATGTGCTCAGAAAAACTATAGATACTTCAGTATAGGTGAAGCATGTTGTATATAGGGAGAGATCCAGAGATTAGAGTGAGTAGGTTATTGGGGAAGTACTTAAGGAGAACTTTGTATGTCATAACCATATAATTCTACAATTATTTATAAGTTTTTAATATATTATGGGACTGTTAATTTTACTTTTACATTGTTACTCTTAGGTTAACAAGGGATTTACTGGCTAGAATACTTAACCATTATAGATACTCTGTGGTAATTATGAGCTATATATTACTTTTTCCTTCCGTGATCAGAATATTTCATGTTCTTAAACTTTGGTTGTCATTCCTATGAAGTAGACTGGAGCAGATATTTTTTTACTAATGGGGATCTCTAGAGAGCAGAAATATTTTACTAATGGGGATATCTAGAGAGACAGAGGCTCTGACAACAGACCTTTTCAACTAGTCTTCTAGATTAGAACTAACTGTTGAGATAAGAATTCTATATTCTACGCATTAGTTTATTCAACCTAAAAGATATTTGTAACCATTTTCTTTATATTTTATAAACTCCAACCAGAATAGACAGTAATGTAACTTTGTACACTACCAGCATTTGGGCTTAATATCATAAGGTACAATTAACTTAATGGCACCAATGATGTGGATAAAACATTTGACTATATTTCATAATATGCAAATTGATATTTTACAATATTAATTAATATCTTGAAACTTTTTTCTGCCTCTTTCTATAGGGTTTCATATGTCCTCAGTGTATGAAATCTCTTGGATCTGTCGATGAACTTTTCAAACACTATGAGGCAGTTCACGATTCTGGTAATGATTCAAGTCATGGAGGAGAGGCTCTTGCTCTGAAGCGGTACAGTATAATAGTTTTGAAGTGTAATTTTGTTAAGAATGCATGTGATATCATTGTTTAATCATGAGTAATTAGTTTGTGGGAATAGTGTTTTTATATTATTTAATTTAAATCTGTCTTCAATTAGTATGGCCTTCCTTTATTGTTATGATCTATCTTTGATCAGTGACCATTTATGCCAGCATCTACACCATGGTATAGAGGTTATATTTTTAATGAAGATTGTAAACTATCAAAAGGTTAAACTGTATTTATTATATTCTGCTTAACAAATAATGATATGCTTTGTTTCAAAGATTTTGTAGTAAGTTGCTAAAATAATGGATTTAACCAAGAATTAAGTTTAATTTTTAAAAAATTTCTTTTATAATCACTGATATAATAGTAAATACACATATACTTCGCAAATTTGCCTGAACATTTTAAGAGTTAAATTAAACTATAATTATTTAAAACAGCATTCAACAGCATAACTTTTCTTTTGCCACTGGTGAGGATTCCTGTCCACTAAGGAAGAAAACTTGATTTCATTCTCCTTGTAAAAAAAATTCTTTTCCATGTTTTTCTTAACAAATGCTTCTAGGTTGGTTAATCTATAACACAAAGAACTCCACATAAGGGAAAAGTATTAGGACCACATAACTTTGTGGTTGATTGATAATATAGAACTATAAAATATGGTTGTTTTGATAATGTGGGAAAACCAGTATCTTTGGAAAGTATGACTATTAATGCTCCTTAGGATTTTTATGTGTGAGTTAATAATTTGGGGTACTATTTTTTGTCATTTGTTAGGAAATAGATATAAAATATAGATACTTATATTAAACTATATTATACATTATACATGTTTTTATATTTAATATCAATTTAACAGAGTTGCTTTTTCAGCTATGAATTAGACAGTACCCAATTTATGAACTTGCAACATAAAACATCTACAATCTACCCTTGTTCTTGTTTCTTGACTTTTCATCCAATGTTTAGGTCACTGAAGCCTGGCTTCTGTCCTACCACTTTCCTGAAACTGCTCCTTTAAAGCCAACAGTAACCGGGATAATTTTCAGTTCTTATCTTACTTGACCTCTGTTTTGGTTATCCATTACCTTGTAACAATCTTCTCAGGACTTAGTGGTTTAAAACTATAGCAGTTTATTACTTCTTGTAATTCTTTGAGTTGTCTGGATGGTTCTGCTTTAAGTGTTGTAGACTGGTGTACTAGGAAGGCCAGAGGGTCCAAAAGGGCCTCATACTGATGGCTGGGGTTGGTATTGCATACTGGCTGGGAACCTGTTGGGGCTGTATGTTAGGGGCCTCAATTCTACTTCGTATGGGCCTCTCCACTTGGATGCTTGCACTTAGTCACAGACCAGCAGTTGCATTATAAGATCATTCCAAGAGAAAAGAAGCAGAGCTGCCAGTCTTCTTAAGACTTGGATTCCAAAGCATGAGTGTGTTATTTCTGCTACATTTTATTGGACAAAGTAGCCACAGGGCTACTCACAGGGCCAGCTCAGATTCAAGAGGCCAAGGAGTAAACTTTATCTTTGAGTGGAGGAGTAGCTTTTGCGTATAGGAAGAGAAGAACTTGATGGTCACCATCTTTGTAGATCCGTCTCTGCAAAATTGGTTATGCTGTCTCTCTTCCTCCTGTTCTTCTGAGAGGATACCTCTGTGATCATTCACTCTTGATCTGTTCTGTGTGCTTCTCTTCCTGTATGTAATTTACCTGGGTAATATCCACATCCATGATTTCCTCCTAAACTACATCTCCAACCTAGAATTATTTCCTAAGTTGCCCACGAGGTATTTTTTTGTAGTTATTCCAAGGGAACATTTCACTGTGACATTTTGAAAACAGGGTTCATTATCTTTACTTCTAACCTGCTCCTTATCAACCCACTACTTCTGGTAAATGGCAACATTATCTTTCCACCCAGTTACTAAAGCCAGAAAATTGAATGTGCTCACTTTCACATACCTGCCCTGTGCGTTTATCTGATCAATCACAAAGTTTAGTTAATTCTGTCTGCTTAATAGCTCTCATAAACTTTTCCTTCTTCACTGCTACAGCTTATTTGAGACTTTATCATTTCATTTCTCACTCAGAAATATTTTTCAGTATTAATATTTGGCTCTCTGCCTTCAGTCTTTTATCTCTTCAATTAACTCTCCATATTGCTGCCAGAGTAATATTTTTTAAATGCAAATTTGATTGCTTTTGCTCTAAACAATAACTTTCACTAGTTTTTCATTGCTTATGTAATAGTTACTGTGTACTTTTCCAGGTTTATTTCTTACTGTATCTGCTCTTTACATCTTCCTACACCTCTCCAGTTTCTGACAATTATATCCTGCCCCTCTATAACACATTGGATAACATGTGACTGTGGGCAGGATATGTTCTTTAGATCAAAGCCCACAAGACTTAGGTGGGTCATGAAACCTTTTTGTTTAAAAGTTATCTGTTTATCAGCTTACATGTGAATTTCATTAAACATCGATCATGTATTTGAAATACAGCAGTAGTTTTTTGGGGGTCCAGATTTTTAAAATGTATGTATGGATAGCACGTACAGAGTACAAAATTCAAATGGTTCAGAAAGTTATATAGTGAAAATTTACTACTTGCCACCTTTTCCCTATCCTCTTACTTTTCATAAGACTCTTATATATATATGTTCCCAGAGATAGTCTATGCATATATATGCATATGCTTATGTCTTGTACATATAAAGAAGTATATAAATATATATAATTATATAAAAGTAGTTCTACATTGTCTTTAGACCTTTAGATTCTTTGTGTATCATACAGATTGTTTTATATCAATGCAGGTAAAGCTTTCTCATTCTTTTTAATGACATGTAGAATTTCATCTTTCTCTTGTTGATGAGCATTTAGGATATTTGTAATTAGGATAATTACAAATGATGTGGTGTATGTCCTTGTGGACATAACATTTGTACATACATGTTTGAGTTTATCTGTAAGATAAATTTCTAGAAGTAGTATTTTTGGACAAATGTTTGCTTCAAAGCTTTGATAGATGTTGCCAAATTGTCTTTTGTAGATATCCTAGGTTGTTTTGATATGTTATATATTTCAAAAGATTTTCTTTGGTAGTAAATTTCTTTCACGCATTTGTTGAAATGGCACTTTTAAAAAGATTAATTGAGCAATTGAGCCCACCACCCCATTAGAAGTTGAACTGGCATTATCTTCCTTGGAATTTCATTCAATTTAATGTGAGTCTTACAAGTATATTGTTATTAATTCCTTTCTTCATCATTTTAGTTTATATTAGAGTTGCAAGATTAATAAATAGGGAAAACTTAAACACACCCACACTTTCACATGTAAGTCTAAGACTTATGTAAAGACTGTGTCCTCCATTTAGCATGTGGCTTCTACAAATTAAAATAGTTCATAGGGCCACATTGGAGAGAGGCATGGATGGGGACATACACACACACACAACAGACAAATGAAAACTAATGAAATTTTCACAAAAAGACAAATTTTAAGAGTTAGAAAAATTGGTAGGAATCTATTATCTAGTTTAACTTTTGTGTTCAAAAATTAAAGATTTCACCTCAAAGTTTATTTCCATCATGAAGCTCTTTTAGGTGGAAATACCACTATCTTTATGCCAGTAATTCTGGGTGAAAATAAGTTTCCAGCCTGGGGCAAATTACCTTTGAAACCAAAATCAATCAAAGGGAGAAATAAAGTTGGAGAAATCTGTTTATTGCTTATAAGCAGTTGTCCATTTCTGCTTGCCCATGTTTCTCACAACCTGGCTGCAAAAGGGACCCCAGCCAACCTCTCCAGACCAGATATACCCTTGCTATCCCTTGTATTACCTGTTGATATGGAGATGGACTACTTCTCTCTACCCCTTGAAACACACCTATTAATATGGAGCTACACCAAGGCCAGGTGAGAGATTCTGGAAATACTGCAATTTTACCCTCTCCTCCAGAAATCTCACCTCACAATCTACTCACTCTCCATCTTTCGCAATGGCCCCTTGTGAGGAAACTGGAGCACTGTAACCAGAGTAATAACATATAATGACAACAGTGATAAAATCATGATAATCCTTAAGCTGAAGGATTCAGCTAAGTTCAAAGTCCTATGCAGATTAAGTCCATAGCTCACCCATTCCACAAGTGGTCAGTAGCTGAACAGGTAGGGAGTTCAGAGCAGTCATTATGCTACAGCTGCAACTGGGGGCGTGGGTCCAGACCACAGGGACTATAGAAGAAAATAACCTTAAAGGTGATAAGATACATGTTTTAATGATACTAGCATAGGTAAACCTTGTCCATCAAGTAGGATGCATACAAGAGAGTGGTCCTGTGTTAGGACAGTGGCAGTAATAGGATCTCATCCTATTACTGGCCTAGTATACTAAACCTTCACTTTCCTCCCTGTGGGAGTTACAGATGGGTACAGGGCTATAGGAGGTACATGCACTGGCCATAAAGATAAAACAAAACTTACCTGTAAGATGCTCTTACTTCCTGGATGTTTGGGGTACACCACTGTGATCTTTGGAGGCCATTCTGCTCTTACTCCAGGAACACACAGGAGGCCAACTTCCTGGCCTTTTCCCCAAGGTGCCAGAAGGGCCAGCCATCACTGGTTCATGTGTCAAAATGTCCAGGGCCACGTCCATTCAACAGAGTCTCCAGGGTTTAACATGGTTGGAACTGGCAGCATGATGTAGCTGATGGCCGTATCCTGGCTTTAATAACTCCTCTTTGGTTTGTACATATAGTTGCTTAGGAGAGGCAGCAATGTGTGTTAGCATGTCCACAGAGCTGAAAACTCCTTTTTGGGGCTCCTTATTCAAATGCTGTAGCACTACCTGTAAGTGAACTGACCAGCCCCATAGGCTATTGGTGTCCGACTTCGGGTCAGATTTTAACAAACCATTGTACCTCTCTATTGTTCCTGCCCCGGTAGGGTTATATGGTATATGAAACTTCCACTTTATTCCTAATTGCTGCACCCATTCTTGTAATGCATGTCCAGTAAAGTGGGTGCCTTGATCACTCTCAATCACCTGTGGCCAGCCATAGGCTGCAAAGAGACTCTCTTGGCCCCTTTTGGTGGTTTGCTGATCTGCATGACAGGCAGGAAAAGCAACCAGCAGGCCAGTACCTGTGTCCACACAAGTCATGGCATACTGATATCCTTATGATAGGGGCATATGTTCAATACAGTCTATCTGCCACCTGACAAGGGGTATCGTCCCCTTTACTATTGTCCCATGTTGCTGCAGACTCAGTGTAAGTCCCTCTTAGAGCACATAAGGCACTCCTGGGCTCTGCTGACTTCTTCAAAGATCAATGGCAAGTCCCAGCCACAGGCTGTAGCCCAGATTGTCTTTTGTCCCACGTGCAACAAACGCTGATGTAACCATTAGGCTACATCAGAGGCAGGCTTCCCTTCTAGCCAGTGCACCTGGGCCAGTGTGTCTACTTCATCATTCCCTGGGGATGCCAAAGGCAAATGGCCAGTGATATACGGTAACTGTCCTAGTCAGAAGAGAGCCCATAGGTCTTGCCACAGCTCCTCTAAGCAATGCTGAAATATGTCTTTCTCCTCCTGAAGTCTCTGCCTCTCTCCTCGGTAACCCTTTCCACTGTCTTGAGAAACAAATGTCTAACAATCCTGGCTGCTACATGGCTATTCAGGACCTCTAAGCAGTCTTCTATCTCATGGAGGGCTAAGTCCACAGCTTCCAGTGTCTCCACCCTTCCCTAATTCTGGGGAAGGCTCTACCTTTCTAGGAGGTGCTTTTCCCTAGATAATTTCCCACTAGGGGCTCCCTGGTGAAGCCACACCCTTCACCACTGTAGCTACTGGGGCCTCCCCACCATCCACAGGGGTGTTTCCAGGTATCTCACCACCATCTCTAGGGGCAGCGTGCCCAAGGATCACATCCATGAAGACAGATTTCAGGGTCAGAGGTCCTGCCAACTACCGCCAGATGTTACTTCTAGGGAAAATAAGTTTTCAGCTTGGGGCAAATTACCTTTGAAACTAAAATCAGTCAAAGGGAGGAATTAAATGGGAGAAACCTGTTGCCTACAAGCAGTCATCCACTTCTGCTCACCTGTCTCTGATGACCTGGCTGCAGAAAAAGGGGAATCCCTCCCCAACTTCTCCAGTCCAGATATGCCCTTGCTTCCTCTTGTAATCACCTATTGATATGGAGATGGACTACTTCTCTCCACCCCCTGGAAACACCTATTGATAGGGAGATGCACAAGGCCAGGTGAAAGATTCTAGAAATGATGCAGTTTTACCTACAATGCCTCTTTTTATTTCTCACAGAACTGATGATAGTCTATTGCTCTTACTTGTTTAGTGTTTAGTTCCCCCATTAGACTGAACAACTTGAGTCTGGCATAGATAATGAATGTCTATTGAATAATGAATAAATTATTTACATATGAATGGTTATGAAAGGTAGAGGACTCATTTTTCCCTCTTTTACATTTCACTTTTTTGGCAGTTTCCTTCATTTTCTATTAACCCCTATTTCACAGATGAAGCTGACTCTGCCCTTTTACTTTCTACCCCTGCCATCTTCGTAGAGGTTAATTCTCCCAGTATGTCCCATTATCTTTTATCTTACTGATAACGCTTGTGCTGGTGTAGATTTGGCCTTCCTTATCATCAGAACTGATCTATTCCTATTCTGTTTACACTATAATCAATTCATTAGAGTATTCTTAATCAGCAGTTTCAGTTTTTGTGTCTTCTATCATGGCAGCCATTGGTAGTGGCATGGAGCAAGGCAGTCCGGCTTTTTTTTTTTGCTGTTAACAATCCAGCAGGGGAATATAGGTTCCTGACATCCAGAAGAAGAATCCCCAGTGTGTGTTTTCATGGAATTTCTCTCCTGTATCAGGCCCTCCAGTGATTTGCTCACCATTCTTTGTGAGACTGACTCTTAGGCAAGGGGAACAGAAAGTGAGATGGTTATGACAGAAAAAAGTATTTCAGACTCAACGAACAGAAAGAAGCCAGTGTTGCTAGAGCTAAGTGAGTGAGGGGGAGAGTCATAAGGCAGAGACTAGATTGTGCAGATTTTGTGGTTCTTGTTAATGAGTTTAGATTTTATGCTAATGGCAATAGGAAGTCATTAGTGTTTATTGTCAAATTAGTGGGACACATTTTGCTTCTTACTTAGGCATTTGACAGTCAGTTGTATCATTTCCATGGTGAAGTGTTTTTCCATTTATAAACATTTAGGTTTAGAAATAAAGTTATTTTTCTAAGGGTTTTATATATATGCCACTATACCTAAAATATACAGGTTTTTTTAAGAACTGAGAAAACTAGAATGTTAATATATAATACTAGCTATGATTTGTTAAGAGACCAGGATGTTAAAGAACATGATATACTAATTCCTTTTATTCCCAATTTATGTTTAGAGATGATGTGACACTACTCAGACAAGAGATCCAAGACCTACAGGCTTCACTTAAGGTAAGAATAAAAATGATTATACTTGTTTTCAGTGTTTCAGAAAATAAACCTTTTAAAATTTACTAATTAAAAATCTTTTTTTTCCCCTAGGAAGAAAAATGGTACTCAGAGGAATTAAAGAAAGAATTAGAAAAATTTCAGGGGCTGCAACAGCAAGTAATTGCTTTTAAATACTTGAAGTGTATTTACTGGTTATTTTCATTGTTGAAAATTAAACATAATACTTTTTGTAAGCAGATGACCTGATATAAACAATTTGTTTATATCTTGGTTTGTTTTCTTTTTTTAATAGCCTACAGTATATGTCCTTTGTAATTCTAATGAATCAAAGAAATACCTAGAAAGCTAAGAAGTAGCTTCTTTAAGGTGCTCCATTAAAAGTCAGTTACCTGTGGATTTATTATACCAGACTATATTATCCTAATTTTCTGACAATTGTATAGTTAAAAAACATAGGTTCAAACAATAGTGAAAATTTTCAAAGCACTTGTGTTATGACAAATTGGAAATCACCAAAATGTCTATTATTAGGGAAAGAACTATTATTAACTGTTTCTGTTAGTGAAGTTTGTTTGAAAACATGGAAAACCATTGCATTTACAATGTTAGGTTTTAAAAAACAAAAATTATGTGTATGTGCACACACACACACACACACACACACACATATATTATACAACTTGAGTTACATAAAAACAGTACATAGAAAAAAACAAAATGATGTGATACCAAAAACTGAAATAACCCATTTTGAAATGTCCAAAATGGGATATTTCAGAATAGATTCTTTAATATTTTATGTTCTTTATAATTATGTATTTTCTAAATAAATGTCTTAACCAGTTACAATCTTTATACTAAAATTGTATTGACTTTTATACAAAAATTACATGAAGAATCACAGAATAATGAACTTACCAGATCCATATATAGTTTGTATTTGCAAGAATAAAGTGGATACCCTTTAACAATAGTCCTAATATTTTTATGAATTAGTGATCCCCTTTGCACATTATCTTAGCACATTGTGTCTCTCAGGCTTTTCACCTTTTTATCTATTTGCCAAGAATTTTCATTTGGGCTAGAAAAGACAAACAGAGAGATAACAAAATATCAGTTTTATTACTACTCAGCCTCAATAATTGAGGATGCATCAAAGAGGTTTTTAGTAATCTAGAATATTTATAGTTCATTTACTCATGTTTTATGTAGGTATCATTAATAACTAATCAAACATGGGCTGTATTAATTTCTGTACCTGAAAACAGAGAGGAAATTGTTCCCTACATTTGAGGTAGCTATTTCACATTCAATAAATAAATTCTCCACAGTGCAAAGTGTAATTGCATTGGTAGGAAATTTGCCTTTGGGGGAAAATATATTTTAAATACTGATGATTCTTAGCAATCAATATGTCTAAATCCAATGTAATAGAAAATATAGTCAGATATACTGTGAGATGATTAAACTTTTTCAGATATGTATAAATTCTTGATAATATGGAAGTTATGACTAGGCCACATACTATTTTGTTTCGAATACACATGATAAGTTAAACCTTATGGGATATATTTTTTATTTCTGTTTCTTTTAAAGGTGATTTATAATCCTGAATTAAAAATTTATGTTTTTAAAGCCGGATTTTTTAATAGTGATGGTTCCCTGGTGTATTTTAATGTGTGCAAATTTCAGATACTATAGGATTGAATCTTGCCTGCTGACTTATTTGTTTTAGAATCTATATTTAGAATTGTAAGAACTTAAATTATTTATTTATTCATTTATTGCTGAATTTAAGGAATTTAAGATAGCATCTATTGTGAGACCCATACTTATTTAACCTATAATAGCAATAAAAACTTCTTAGAACCAGGGAGCTGTTGTTAAATCATTATACCAGTCTGCCTAGCGGAACACAGAACAAGCCAAAATTTAATTCTCATCAAAATCTTGCTGTTTGCCTGACAGAATGGGGCTTTCAGAAATTTTTCTCACATTGGCAGTTGTAACAGTATTGTCTTTTCCTTTTAATGCATTTTTTATATTTTGTTTTCATTGAGGAGTCTAAACCTGATGGATTGGTGGCTGATTCATCAGCAGGTAACTTAGAGTAGATATTCTTTCTTCTCTCTCATTCTTGTTTTTAACTTTTTTCTTTTTCTCTGAGGGCTGCTACGTAAATTTTGTTTTGTGGTTATATTTTTATGGCTTTGAAACAGTGAAGATAACAGTAGTATTATAGGCTTAGAGTGTTTGTTACCTGCGAACCTCATGACTTAATCAGTTAACAAAAATCTTAGTTCATTATATTCTGAAGTTATAAATTAACTTCCAGGATATTACATTAATGTGATTGTTTAATAAAAAGTTAAATCTGTATTAGAAAGTGATGTATGCTTTTTTTCTTGAAATAAAAATGATAAGACTAGCATTTCATAACTGATTTTAACTGGAGGGCTGCTCAATGAAAAATGAAAATATTTTGAGATTAGCTAGTAGATTATAATTTTCCTGTGAAATCTCTTTTTATAAGACCTTGTTCTTAAACTGTTTCTAATGTCATTTTGCATTATAACAAATTTTATCAGAGAAACAGAATATATTCCTTCTTGGTCAGTTGACAGATACAGGAAAATAACTGAAATGTGAACTCAAAATAATCTTGAAACAAATATTTATACATTATTTGGGTGTGATAATATATATTCTTTTTTTAAATTTAGTGTTTTTAAGTTACAACTTGTACTCTAAATGAATCAGGTATACTTCTTGAAATGTGAAGATACTCTATAATTAGTAATAGACTCATGTTAATTGTCTTACAGTAAGTATAAGTAATCCTACTTTAGGAAATCTAATTATTGTATTTGAGTAAATACTATACTTTTTTAAAAAAAATAGAGCTACAGTCTTTGGAACAACAATTAGAAGAAGCCCAAACAGAGAATTTTAATATTAAGCAAATGAAAGACTTATTTGAACAGAAAGCAGCCCAACTTGCCACTGAAATTGCAGGTAAACTGAATCAGAAATTTTTAGTCAATAAATCAGTCTCACTGATTTTTTTACTATTACAGATCCTATAAATAAACATTATATTTTAGTGTGGTTAAGTATTTATTAAAGACTGTTATGGTGATTGCTGGAATTTAATGACAACCAAATTGCTATGTAAGTAATGTTTGTCATCTCATTTTCTCCCTTCAAAGGACTGATTTTTTCTATAGAATTATTCTTGATTTTAAGAAAATGAATTTTCTTTTGGGGTATGCTTTAAAGATTAACAAGTAACATTTTGAAGAAGTAAAATAATATAGCATAGATTTTAGATTTAACATTTGGTTATGCTGTCAGTTATGTTTTTATTAACTATATGTTTTTGGGTAAAATATTGTTATATGATAAGTTTATATTAAAATGCTAATTCATACTTAATGTGTGAATTTAGTTAAAAACATTTTATCATTTTAAGTTCATTGTTCAGTGGTCAGAAGTATAATTTTATTGTACGTATTTATGTTTATCTTAGGACTGTGAATTTGAATTAGAGTGGTATAATTATGTGTGCTGGAATATACAGGAATTTATAAAACTGCTCCTCTCTAGAGTTAGTCATAAAACTAATATTTACATAACTATCCTTAATTAGACATAAAGTCAAAATATGATGAAGAAAGGAGTCTTCGAGAAGCTGCTGAACAAAAAGCAATACAACTGACAGAGGAATTAAACAAAGAAGCAACTGTAATTCAGGATCTGAAGACTGAACTGGTAATTTAGAAACCATTTATTGGAATTTACCTTTATAATTTTCTGACTTAAAAATGAAATACACTAATAACAAATATTTAAAAGTATAGACTGAGTGAAATGGAGGAAATAAAAAGTTCCCTAGAATGCTACCACCTGCATATATACTGTATATGATTTTAAAAATAAAAATGGATTTCATGATACATAATTTATTATCTTAACATTTTTGTTGTTTCTTGATACACTGTCTTTCTTAGTAGTTTCCATATTTGCATCTCTCATCCTGACCTCCCTTGCATTTTAGTTTTATAAATCCACCTGCTTTTAGGATACTTCTGATTGCATTTCTAGCTGTCATTTTCAAATTCAATAAGTATAATATCAAGTTATCGTATTTCTCCCATAACTGTATGTCTATCATTGGTACCATACATCTTCAATGCTCTCCTCAGGCTTAACAACCTTAGATCTGTCCTTGAGTCCTTTCTGTCCTTCATTTAGCACTCAATAAATACACAAGTAAAGGAATCACCTATATTCAACCTGTATCAAATCTTGATTATATTTAGATCTACAGCTCCTTCATTTAAAAAAATTTTTTTTATTAAGGTATAATTGATATACGCTCTTATGAAGGTTTCACATGAAAAAACAATGTGGTTACTACGTTTACCCATATTATCAAGTCCTGACCCATACCCCATTGCAGTCACTGTCCATCAGTATAGTAAGATGGCACAGATTCACTGTTTGCCTTCTCTGTGCTACACTGTTTTCCCTGTGACCCCCACACCATGTGTACTAAACATAATAATCCTCAATTCCCTTCTCCCTCCCTACCCCCCCACCCTTCCACACCCGTCCCTTTTGGTAACCACTAGTCCCTTCTTGGAGTCTGTGAGTTTGCTGCTATTTTTTTCCTTTAGTTTTGCTTCGTTGTTATACTTCACAAATGAGGGAAATCATTTGGCACTTGTCTTTCTCCGCCTGTCTTATTTCACTGAGCATAAAATCGTCCAGCTCCATTCCTGTTGTTGCAAATGGTAGGATTTGTTCCTTTCTTATGGCTTAGTAGTATTCCATTGTGTATATGAACCACATCTTTATCCATTCATCTATTGATGGACACTTATGTTGCTTTCATATCTTTGCTGATGTAAATAGTGCTGTGATAAACATAGGGGTGCATATGTCTTTTTGAATCTGAGAAGCTGTATTTTTTGCATAAATCCCAAGGAGTGGGATTCCCAGGTCAAATGATATTTCTATTTTGAGTTTTTTGAGGAACCTCCATATTGCTTTCCACAATGGTTGAACTAGCTTACATTGCCACCAGCCATGTAGGAGGGTTCCCCTTTCTCCGCATCCTCCCCAGCATTTGTTGTTCTTAGTCTTTTCAATGCTGGCCAGCCATCCTTACTGGTGTGAGGTGATATCTCATTGTGGTTTTAATTTGCATTTCCCTGATGATTAGTGATGTGGAGCATCTTTTCATGTGTCTGTTGGGCATCTGAATTTCTTCTTTGGAGAATTGTCTCTTCACATTCTCTGCCCATTATTTAATCGGTTTATCTGCTTTTTGGGTGTTGAGGCATGTGAGTTCTTCATATATTTTGGATGTTAACCCCTTGTCAGATATGTGATTTACAAATATATTCTCCCATACTGTAGAATGGATGCCTTTTTGTTCTGTTGATGGTGTCCTTTGCTGGATAGAAACTTTTTAGTTTGATGTAGTCCATGAGTTCATTTTGGTTTTGTTTCCCTTGCTCGAGGAGATGCGTTCAGAAGAAGTTGATCATGTTTATATTCAGGAGATTTTTGCTTATGTTGTCTCCTGAGAGTTTTATGGTTTTATGACTTACATTCAGGTCTTTGATCCATTTCGAGTTTACTTTGTATATGGGGTTAAACAATAATCCAATTTCATTCTCTTGCATGTAGCTGTCCAGTTTTGCCAACACCAGCTGTTGAAGAGGCTTTCATTTCCCCATTGTATGTCCATGGCTCCTTTATCATATATTAATTGACCATATATGGTTGGGTTTATATCAGGGCTCTCTAGTCTGTTCCATTGGTCTGTGGGTTTGTTCTCGTGCCAGTACCAAATTATCTTGATTACTGTGGCTTTATATCCTTCAGTTTTATTACCAGTTTCTTAGCATAGAAAATGAAGGAATGTAGTTTTTTTCGAGTGGTTGTTATGACCCATAGGCATGGTTTGTAGGAAAGGAAAGCAGATGAAACACTAAAGATAATTGTGAATTTGCTATTTTGCATTTGAGTAGTAACACTATTAAATGTGAGATATGGTGGGAAGAGGAGAGGCTTGTTAGTGGGAAGGAATCAGTGTTCGATGTTTGTAGTCCAATAATTAATATTAAAGATGGTTTTCACTTTGATTTTTTTGTAGTGAAACCATATAAAATTGTGTTATTTTAGTTTTTCACTGTAATTTTTATTTGAAATGTGTTGCTTCACAGCTTCAGAGACCTGGTATAGAAGATGTAGCCGTGCTGAAGAAAGAACTGGTCCAGGTCCAAACGCTAATGGACAGTATGACCTTGGAACGTGAGAGAGAATCTGAAAAACTCAAAGATGAGTGCAAGAAGCTACAGGTGGAACATGCTAACTCAGAGGTAATGACGTTCAGTGCACTCAAATGTGATTTTCGTTAACTTGGTGTATACTGTTACGTGAAATGTTCCACATTTCAAGTCTGTGTTCTTTCTGTATCATGATATCTCCCATTTTTATGTGGTCCAATGACTGCCTTATAAAAGTAAATTTATGCTATTCATCTTGACCTAATGCCTATTGTTATTACTTTTCATATTTTACCATATTGTATGTTACAATGTTTGTATTGAGATAGCTTAAAATACTTAAGAGTTGTGTCTCATATCATTTCCTTATAAAAAACTTAACTGCCTTAAATAATCTATCTCATTTATTTGTTTATAATTTCTTTTATTTTTAGCTTCTGCTTACTCTTCAAATGTAAATATTTGTCTAAGTATATAAATATATGGCATGTATTTTATCAATTTATTAAAATTCAATTCTCTTTCTTCCAGTTAAGTGTGTATTGGTGAAGTACAGTACTTAAATTAGTAGAAAAGAATTTTATGTATTACTACTTTACTTAACCTAAATATTAGTATTATAAACAAGCACATTAAATGGAATTAAAGAAGCTAAAAAATACAGTGCTTTATTTGATATTTCTAGTTGAGACTGAAGATATGTATTCCAGTGTACATTGTTAAATTTTTCCTTATGTTCCATTACTTTCATTTTTAAATATATACCTTAGGAATTCATTGACTTTTTTTTTTTTTGGTTCAGATATTTGAGAAAAATAACTCCTAAAACATTTGAAAGTACTTTGTAAATAAGCTATTTTATAGATTAGAAATTGAAGATTTAAAGGTTAAAAAAGTATTCTACATATCTACATTATTGAAAATATCAAAGCTGGGATCAACTTATATTTGGTGTGGTCTTTAATGGAAATCATTTTTTAAGAATTTTATTTGTATTCCAAATACACCCTTTTGAATCCCATTTTTAAAAATTAAAGTGTTTATAAAGATAAAGAATAAGTATGGTTACACTCATGCATAGTTGTTAAAAAGCATATTTAAGTATCTTTTAAAAGTATACTAATGTAGAGATAGATTTAGCAGTATGATTGGACATTTTTATTGTGTTTTCAATGTGTACTTCAGTCCTGTCTTCCACCTTTCATCCATCATTTCATTATTTTTTTTTTCTGCTTTCTAATGGAGATGCTTAAACTTGAGGTAATGTGATTTGGGAAGGCTTTTAATATTAGTAATACTTTTAATACAACACCTTCTATTGTCATATAGCATTTTGTGTTTAGAGCAATCTCAGAACTTCAAAGATATGCTCATTTTTGTTTTATTAATTTAAGCAAATTTTGGACCATCTTTAAATAATTATTTACTAAGAGTAATAGCATATTACGATAATAATTACAATTCTAAAGCACTAGCAGTATGTTTGCTTGGTGTATCTTTCCTTAATTATTTTGTAACTTAAAGCTTTTTAGTAAAACTTCAATGTTGAGTTCAAAAACGTGGTTTAAAGGAAATGTAGATTTTTATAGGGTTTGATATACTCTTCCCAATTAATATCTGTTAATTCCTTCGAAATAGAATCACTCATTCCTTTGTGACTTTTTTTGAATAGTGTCAGTAACTATTCAAATTTAGGTTGTTGTAAAGCTTATGTTCCTTTGTGGATGTCAGTAAGCCAAATCATGATAGAAAGTCAGTTAATCTGAAGCACCATAAAAAATAGTAAAGCAGGAAATGTATAGTAGTGAAGCTGGCAATAATGTGAGACAATTTTAGATAGAATGATCAGGGAAGGAGCCCTTGAGGAGAACGTGTGTGAGAAGAATGAATTAAGCAAGAATCATAGTGAAGAACTGGGAGCAAGTGTTCCTCAGAAGAGGGAGCACAAGTCCTAAAGCCTTCAAGGCCCAGATAAGCTTAGCCTGTTAATAGTGAGGAAAGTCAGTGTGGCTAGAATGGAGAGCCTTCTTTGGTTGAGTTTCACCCATAGTGATATGTGAACAGGGAATATCTGAACCTGGAAATGTTTTCTTTCTTTAATCTTATATATATTTTTCAGATATGAACATAATACATGGTCATGATAAAAGATTAAAATGATTTGCAGTGTGCAGTGAGAAAGTACAAGTTTGCTGTAATTCATTTCCCTCCCTTCCCTTCCCTATAACTAAAGTATACCTCTTGCTGTGTACTCTTCCCACATCTTTCTTTTTTAACTCCTAGAGTAAATTAAAAAATTTTAAATGCTTGCTTTTATCTTTTTAAATATTCTAGGTTTAAAAATATATACACATTTAGTGTACAAAGGACAAATGATACACTTATTGTTCATTTTTTTAGGTGTTAACATTATAAAATCATTTATAAGAACATTTAAAAACTATAACAATGATTTTTTTTATGTATTTGCTTTACATTTTCTTGTTTAGTGTCTTCTGCATGTTGGAATTTATCAGCAAGATAGATATTAGATAGATGTTATACTTGGATTTTACATTTTATAAGCTTTTATGTAGAATCATGGTATTTTAATGAAATATACTCATAATTTGGGTTACTTATTTCTGTTTATATTCCAGACATTCTGCTATATCCTTTGATAAGATACTTATAAGTAGGTATTTAAATATGATAATATACTTGCTTTCGTGATAAGTTGGCATTTGCAGTATGTGATTGAAAGATATTACTTTAAAATAGCCAAATTATTTGCAATATTTTTATTAATATCCATACTGTTACTAACAGAAAATGATTCTGAGACTCAAAGGTGTTAGAAATAGCACTTTGAAATAAACTCCCAATACCTGTATTCATATCAAAGATACATGATCAATTTAAGACATGTTTATTAGGATATGCCTTTAACTGAAATGCAATTAAAAATACTTGAATATTTAAACTTATTTCCTTCTTTGAAGTATGTAATATATATATTAATTGTTATACATTATATTTACATACCCTGTATAAAGTATAACTATAAAGTAATGTGACAGATTGCCTTTCAGGGTATAAGAATTGGTTCATTTACATTAATGTTTTCCTTAAAAGGTCAGACCATGAACTTATATCAGATGTGCTGCCATTCCTAAAAACATTTTTGAAACCTCTTTTGATAGACTTTAAATCAGTTTGGAAAACACTCAGAAAACTAGTTTCATTAATTTATGGTTATTAAAATAAAATTTAGAAAGCCCAAGTGAACATTTAGTTTAGTCACTTACTTTGTTTACTAGGTAGTTTCTAAAACTGAAAGCCAAAGCTACTGTGTGAAAAAAAAAAGCCAGATATTCTGGAAGCATTCCCAAAAGAAGACTAGCAAAAGATCTCTTGGCATTAATGTCACAATAAATTGGTAGCCTTTGAGTAACTTTCTACTAATTTATTACAAATTTCTCCCTTGAAGATGAAAGTACTCATTTGTAGTATATGATACAGGTAACTGCTGATGTGTTCATTAAGAAAACTTTTAAAAATTTGCATTACTCATATTATAAAGTTTATTTACTAATAAAGACTACAAAGAAAATAATTATAACCTGAAGAATGAAGAAATAAAGCCAACAAGCAATATTAGAAATACAACATTCTTTTGTTATTATCATCTGTGGTAAAGCAGTCTCTCGCTTGCTAGTGATGAAGCTTTTGTGTAAAGGAATTTGTATTTCCAAGATCTTTGCTTACCCTTCTCTTACGTCTTTTTTAAATGATCAAACCATTGTTTTAATAGTAGACCCTAATTTTCATTTAAAAAAATGTTAAAATGTTGAAGTGATCCATATCAAGTGATAATACCTGATCACAGAGTGCAGTGATTCTATTTAATAAAACTCTCTATATAACTTCTGTTTGGTAACTTCTTTGGACAAAAACTTCCCATTACAGTAAAAAGGATGATTTGCCATTTTTCAAAGGTAACTGTGTGTAGTATGTTTGCATTTAACATGTTTTAAACTGAAAAGAAAAGGCTATACTATAGAAATGGGGAAAAATGTAGGCATAACTTGCATATCCTCTTTAAATTCAAGAGGATTAAAGTACAGAGTTTCAAAGCCAGTAAATTCAAGTTTATAGTTTGATGCTTACTTCTGACATGCGAGGTAGGATGTCAACTTTTCATTTCATGTGTTATTAAATAAATGGAGTTGTGCATCTTAGATACATTTTAAAATTTTGTTTTCAGTCAATAAAGATGTGGAGTGGCAGTAGAAGGATAAAGATCCAAACTGAAACTTCCAAGGATTATTTCAATTTAACAACCACAATGATGCAAATTATGTAATCTTAAAACCTTTGGATGCTTCCATTTCTTTTTTCATTTAATTTGCTCTAATTTTTTTTTTTTTTTAGGCTACAGTGAACCAGCTAAAGAATGAACTTGCCAAAGGCCCCCAGGAAGTTGCTATATATGTGCAGGAACTACAAAAACTGAAAAGTTCAGTTAATGAATTAACTCAAAAAAATCAGGTGAGAATTTAAAAACTACTTGTAGTGGTGAATTGATTATATATATCTTAAATTTTGATTTTGTGTGCGTGTTTTATATATGGGCATAGTACAGTGTGAATGTAAAATTATTTTGAAAAAAAATTTTTTTTTTTTTTGAGAGGGCATCTCTCATATTTATTGATCAAATGGTTGTTAACAACAATAAAATTCAGTATAGGGGGGTCAATGCTCAATGTACAATCATTAATCCATCTCAAGCCTAATTCTCGTCAGTCTCCAATCTTCTGAAGCATAAC